TATATATATATATATATATATAATGATGAAAATATACCAGAAAAGAAAAGAAACACTATTGCTAGTGGGCAAAGTGTGGGCAAAAGTATATTGCCAGCGATCAGTACTGTATGCCATAAATAAATATGCCTACGTGTTGATTGACTTTTGATTGCTATACATTAATTATATTGGTGATTAGATAATATTGTAGTGTTTCTCTGTCATTCCATAAAATACTGGAGGAAATTGCAATTAACCAACTTCTGCCAATTTGTCCTACATACTTATTATCTTAATAATTGTCCCGGGAATACATTTCAAATAATGAGCAACATAATTTCTACCACCGTAATACGATTTGATTTTCTAATTTACTATACAGACATAGTAGTACGTTCATGTTATGCAATTAAATTAGTAATGCTTGAGTTAATCAGTGACAGATAGTAATCGATTTCAATTGTTTATTCTCTGTGTTAAGTAAATATTTGTGGGTTTGTTGATGGAAATCAGGCCAACTTAAAAATAATGCGATATATTTCATAATTCATGAAATAAAGTAAAAATATTCTTTGTTAATCTTATTTAATAAATTTTAATCTATTAATAAATTCCTGTCCTTTCTTAAAAGAATGACGCTATAGTCCCTGTCGGTTTTTAACTAGATGTTAGGTAACCACCTAAATGATATTTATAAATTGATATACAATATGATCGCATTTATTTTCCCGAGGCGACTCTGGGGTTTTGTCATTTAAACTATAGTTTAACGCGAATTTCTGTCCGTTAATAACCCATGAGCTACCATCAGCCTAGATAAATAATATACTGCAGGCATTTATAAGTCGATCGTAACATCATTAATTCATTATACCTAATTTTCATATCCAAGAAACGGAATAATTTTGACTAAACCTTCTACACTGAAAGTTGACTGTTTTTGTAAATTTTTTTTTGTAAATTGTGTATCAGTCGCATTATTTTTCAATAAATTATGTCCGTTTATCGCCACTTTTGAAGAACCTGGGATAGTCACCAGTACAGTACGGTAGTGTCCCATGAGTCACAGAATGTGGTACGGTAATAATGTCAATGGACGAAACGAAAAATCCATGACGTACATTTGTAAAATTATGTGTTTGTGGGGCATGTACATCTATTGCATAACACGTTCTGATTCGTCAGTTAAGTTTGCCAACGGGGGGTGGGGGTGGGGTGTATTCCCTAACAAGAACAAAGTGGGCGTGGCCGGGCGTCACTCAAAATCTCTGTAAAGTGGTTCAGGAGCGAAGCTCCCCAAGAATATGACAATTTATATATTTCAAAGGCTTATTTAATCGATTTTAGAGAAAATACATAATATTTTTTTTTCTCCCCGACGAACTGTGGTTTTTCTCCCCTACGGGGTGGGTACAAAGCCTCCCCACCGGTGGGGAGAACGACATTCCCCACCCCGTAGCGCCGCCACTGCGGAACATTCATGGACTCTGTTTAAACAAGTACATAGGCCTACCAATTATACACATTGGCAGCCTTTGAACTAACTTTACCTTCTTAGGCTGACCCATTTTGGTAAGATATCTTTCGTCACACTGGGACCATCTCCCATTATTATGATTTTCATGATTATTAGTTATCGGCACATCTGTCAAACAGTATATCGGAGAATCTCTTCTGATGTTAATATAGCGGGATAAATGATTGAAGTCATTAGAAGTGCTATGCCCCTTTAATAATTATTCTTTTAGTAGGAGTGCAAATGTATGACGTGATTATCTTAGTGAATCTGTGTTATATATCTATGGCAAAGGCCGTCGGCGAACGGCACCAGCCGCACCGGCTTTGGCCGGGCCACTTTTTCTCAATTTTGTTATTTTTTAAAATAAATATTTACTTATACCTATGAATTATATTAATTTATTAATAATGTTCGCATCACATTGTCTTTGTAATTTTATAGAGGCCTACTATTTAAACAAAAAAAAAATATCATTAGCTTGTTGTTGTATTGCTTATGTACATTTAAACTTGTTTGACAATCCTTAATTTTAGTAAATAAGATTGATTTTGAAAATGTTCAGAGATATAAATTAATTTAAACCACTAAATATCTAGGGGGTTTGAGTCTGCCAATATTGTTATCACCACACAAATGTATACTGGTCAACCCAGCCCTGATTACTTGCAATTAAAATTTAAACGCCAAAATGATGGACATTCAATTTTTGAGTATGCATGTGCTGTGCTATTTCTCGGAAGATGAGCCAATTTTTGAACCATGGAAGCTGCTTTGCAGTCTGCCAGCTGCTATTTCTGGGCATCCATCCAGAAATGCCATATTTTAAAATATGGCATTTTCCACATCAGGCCCCACACGGGAGGGCTGAGGTAGGTATGAACCGCTACTTCTGCCCCTTGTGGGGGAGAAGTAGCGGTTCTACAATTACCAGCTGCTATTTTCGGGCATCCCAAAATTATACTTTTAGACCCCAATCTTAGGGATTGGCAATCACAATAGCTATGATTGGATTTGAAAATAAATATCCCGACGACCTCGTCGTGACGTCAGACGAGGTGTGTGGGTGAGGGGAGGGGGAAGAGTGTCCAGGTTTTAAACTGCTGATTGCTTTTGTTCCTGCACCCTGGTCGGGGGCCCTTTTCCTTTATCGGTCCAGATTTGACTCACTTCACTCTGCATTAGTATCTCCAAAACTTAAACCATGCCACCACCTATGTCAACATCATTGCTATCATCATCATTCGTCGTCGTCGTTATCGTCCTCGGCACCATCATTATCATCCGTATTGTCATCGTCAACATCACCACCATATCACCGACATCGCCATCATTCACCATCACAGTTATCATCCTGTCATCATAATTATCCTCTCTTCATCATCATTATTTTATCTTGACACCCAGGTAAACAATGTTTCCACAGTATGGCTTCTGAATCCTTGTAAAACTAGTCACATTCTAACATTGCGCCCCACAAAAAACCCTGGATCGCCCTTGAATCTTAGTGCTCTATTAGGCATGCCTATGTCTTCATCACCTTACCGACAGTACACGGGCTATCTGCCATAAAAATTGACTAAAATTAAAGTGTACTCGGTATAAGGCCCAGCAGACTTTTAATAATTCAAGTGATTGTACAAAGCACAACTCATCTAGGGTGTGACAATAATTCATTAGTGCTTGCTTCAGTTTGAATTTGGCAAGTAAGTGAAATTAAAATTGCACCATCACTATTCGAAACTCTACGGTATTCATTAATTTGTAGGCCTATTTCCAAATATAATGCACCAAATATTGCATCCTGTGTATTTTTAACATTTAGTTGCATATTGTTAATATTTCACAATACCCTGCAAGTTGTCAAACTACAGACAGTCACTGTTATTTTGTATTATGTATATGTGTGTTCCTTGCACTTTATTTATTCATGGGGAAATAAGAAACTCAATTCATCTATTTTTGGCACTGATTAGAAATTAAATTTTAATAAATTTATCATTTTCGCAATAGACGTATACGGTACATTTGTCTTATTCACATAAATTAAAAGAGGCCTAAACTAGATACGCCATAGGCGCCATATATGGTGCCATATTTTCAAAAACACCACCCCACCCCCCCCCTTTCCGACGGCTATGCATGGGGGCTGTCTCTTATACACATCTAGATGTGTATAAGAGACAGGAAACACTATTGCTAGTGGGCAAAGTGTGGGCAAAGTTGTGAAAAGCACCCTCAACTTCGGGCCCCCATCAACACCCTCACTTTAAGACTCCTAGATACGCCAATGCTAATCATCATAAAAATGTAAACATCCACGTTAGGTCTATGTCATTTTTATTTGTGTGTGATCCACCGCGTATTCAATGCTCTGACGAATTACTCTAAAAACAGAGGCTAATCATTATATGTGCAGCAGCTTTAGCCTTGCAGTTTAAATAATTTATAATCAATCCAATCAATTTAACTACACTTTATTAAACATTATTGAGCACATGTTTCATGGTTGTTGCCGGGAATATGTTGTTAGTCGGATTAGGTGTTCATGTCCCAGGTTTTTCTGTTTCATCTTAAAACCACATATTCTATCGATCCCTAAGTGGATTGCATGGTACCCCTCTGGCCTCTTCCCGTCTTTGCTAGTTATCAGTATGATAATACTGCATCACTACATCTCAGCGTATATATCTTGCAGTTGAGCGATGATATTTGATTGATGAACAACATGAATAATCAATGCAACCGAAAGCGCTCAACAACTGGCCGAGGCCGAGATCTCGGCAACACAGGAATACAACGTAGATTTCCTTCGTGCATAATCATTGTTGTGCGTTAACGTCGCTATACACTAAAACGCCTGAAGTCTCGTAATATTCAGAGTTTAGCGCCTGGAACAATCCTTTGCTAAATGTAGCATATCCCACGCACTCCTACGGTTTCACTTATTCGATATTTACAAGCGACACTTTAAGATCCACCTGGCATCGGAGTCATCAACCACTGTTACGCATCCAAATGCATGGAAAAGGAAATAATTTTTTGCACATGGCTGGACGACTGCCATTAATTTTATTTAGCTAGTGCTTTCTATATTCATGATATTCACTGATTACTATTTTCAATCTTCAAAGAGATCTGTAGCGGTGAGGTGCCTCATATTAAATTTCTGTTGTATCTCAGGTAATTATATTGTTATTAATAAGTATGCAATACCTTTAACGCTGGCATTAATGATTCAGATACAGTGTTTTTGTTTTACCATGTGTACAGTCGGAGAGGTTGTATTTTGTGAAAGAACACGCGGAATTTAATTTTATCAAATTAGTTCTAATGCTAAACACATTTGAGCTACCGTAAATCGATATTGATCGCAATTACTTTCAGCATAGCATTAGGTCCACCTGTATGTCAGCTAATAAAGTGAAAACGTTCACGAATGTTTGTTCGTGTTTGCAG